GGATAAGGTTAGAGACCTGGCTCGAGCTTGATTAAACAACCCTTATGTATTTGCATCGGTACACGGCTCCTGGGTGGTCTTTGGGGACCCTGAATTCTGGGCATAACACTGGTGGGACTGTAAAATGCTTCAAACCCTTTGTAAAACAGTCTGGCACTTCCTTAGAAAGTTGGAAATAGAAATACCTTATGACCCAGCTATCTCTCTACTTGGTACATATTGTGAGAAATCTTCAAGATAGTCCCTGTTCAGGAATAACAGGCTTATAAGACTGCTATACCAGACATAGGTTGTTGATTCACACCCACTGATACCTAAACAAGATAAATTGGGGGAGGGGGAAAGAAATATGTTCTGAGACTAGGAACTTTAAATAAGAATACAGTCATTAAGACCATGAGCATCATTTGGGCTAGATTGTGAAACTGGGGGGAAGGAAAATGGGAATAAAACTCTTCATGAGCTGGCCATGATGTGTATCTGTCCTTGTCTACTGGGTTGGGTGCACGATTTTGCAAAATCAAATAAAGAAACCCTCATTCTTGCTAAAATGAGTATAGATTGGATTTCTTGAGTATTTGTCGGTATCGACAACATTTCTCATAATATCCACAAGAAATATGGAGTCAGGACTAGAGTAGATATAGGCACACAAATGTTCATTGCAGCACTATTCACAGTAACAAAAAGAGGGAGACAGCCTAAGTTTTCATCAATGGATGAATGGATAAACAGACTTTGGTATATACATACAATGGAATACTATGTAACCTTGAATAATAATGATGAATATGCAAAACACCTCACAACATGGATGAAACTGGAGGACATGATGCTGAGTGAAATTAGTCAATCACAAAAGGGCAAATATTATATAAGTCTATTATAAAAGCTTATGAAAAGGTTTTTGTACTAAAAGAAACATTCTTTGGTATTTATTAGGGATGGGAGGGAGTGGTGAGTAATTCGTTGGCTAGAGAGGTAATGGGGAGGGCAATATACAAGGATTTAGATGGCAATACACAAGGAGAGGGATGGTAGCAGATGAACAATGAAGACAGGGAAGACTTAAGGAGGTATTCATGGGCTAAATGGGATAGAGGAAACAGTTAAATGGGATAGAGTAAACATTGATACATACACAACCTTTGAACAATAGTTTTCTGTAAGTACATACTGGATCGAGACATAGGCTGAATGGGTAGAGGGGAGAAAAACGTTTATGTGTCTGACTGTCTTGTGGATATTGGTTTCCCCTGCCTATTGTAAAATAGATATTTATGTGTGATAGAAATGAATATTTGGAATTATGGTTACAGAAAGCTTGTAAGCGTGTCTTCAGCCTACAAAAGACTGGATTTGCTAAAGAAGGAAATTAGAATTTGCCCATGGAAGTAGACTTCTTGTTAAGCCTTTGTAAGTATGGGGCCCTAGGCAGAATCTTGAGCCCCACCCAGAAATTTCTGAGTTAGGTCGTTTGCATTTGAAAAGACACGCAGACTAACCTAGGACTGCTGGGACAACAGAAGATTCTTATCGAAAGGAAGACTTATAGAAAAAAAGTGGACTGTTGGCTGTTTGAATATGCATGCTAAAGCTGGACAGTGAATGAGGAAGACCATAGAAGAACTGATGTCTTTGAATTATGGTGTTGGAGAAGAATATTGAAAGTGCCATGGGCAGCCAAAAGAATCAATAGATCCATTTTGGAAGAAGTGCAGCCAGAGTGCTCCTTAGAGGCCACGATGACCAAACTTTGTCTCCCATACCTTGGACATATTGTCAGGAGGGACTAGTCGCTGGAGAAGGATATCATGTTTGGTAAGGTGGAGGGTCAGCGAAAAAGAGGAAGACCCCCAACGAGATGGATTGGCTAAGTGGCAGCATTGATGGACTCAAGCGTGGCAATGTTATGCCCAGAATTCAGGGTCCCCAAAGACCACCCAGGAGCCATGTACCGATGCAAATACATAAGGGTTGTTTAATCAAGCTCGAGCCAGGTCTCTAACCTTATCCGACATTTCGGAATA